CCCCCCCCCCCCCGCCACGCTCACGCTGGAAGAGTGCCGACGACGGGGCAGAGATCGCTGCCAAGGCCTCCAACCCTACGAACGATCACGTGTGGAGTAGGGTCTGCGTTCTGCTCGGCCCGGGTCCGCGCCATGGAGGGGGAAACACACGGACACGCCCGGCCGGCCTGCATGCTCCCCCGGCCCCCGGCCCCCGCCCCGGCGCCCTTGTATTTTGTGCACCATCCCTGAGTCGCGCCCCCGACGCGCGGCTGGGCACGTCCCCCCCATCGTCGCCACGGCGCCCCCGATCGGGACTGCCCCGACTGCCCCGACTGCCGCCCCGCACCCGAAGCCCAGGACATGTCCACCACAAGCGCCATGGCGGCCTTCTGAATCGTGTTTTCTATTGTCGCAGGGAGAGGGATCTCTGCTCCGACAGCGAGTCCTCCCCTGATCCCCCCCCCCTTTCGATACACGCTCCTCAAGTCGAAAGGAACGCGATGGAAGAGGAGGAGGTGGAGGAGGAGGAGGCGGTGGATGTGGAGGACGCGGAGGGGAAGGAGGGGAAGGAGGGGAAGGATATCAACAACAACAACAACGAGGACGGCAGCAGCATCAGCGGCAGCAGCATTCGCAACCACCAGGCAAAGGCACTTCCCAGGCGGAGGGGGGGGGGGGGGGAGGGAGAACATGCTCCTCTGGCCCGCTCTCCCCCCGCGCGTCAGGCGGCGAACACCGCGCACGCACGGGCATCGGTGGTGGCTCCTCCGGCTCCTTTCTTCTTGCACGCCTGCCCCTTCGCTACGCGCCCTTCTCTCTCGCTCTCGCTCTCGCTCAAGCGAACCGCTCCGAGATGACCAGCTTCAGGGACTTGGCCAGCACGGCGGCCGCGCGGTCGAGCTCAGCCTGGCCGTGGGCCGCCGAGATGACCACCCGGATGGAAGCGGGCGGCGGAACCGGCAGCTCCTGGTCCAGGGCATACTTGGCCCGGGTGAAGACCACGCCACCATGGGGAAGCCCATTGAGCAAGGTGGCAGAAGCCAGGGCGGCGGCCTTCTCGGCATCGGCCGGCAGGGTGAGATCCTCCTGCGTCGTGCCGGCCAGCGAGGGCCACATCTGCCCGACGGCGGTCTCCTTGGCGAAGGCGGCCTCGGCGGCTTCGGCCTCGGCCGGGTCGACGACATCGGCCCCGACACGCGCCCGCGTGACCACCGCCTCCAGGAGGCACTCCTCATCGAAGCGATCGTCCCCGAGCTTGGCCAGCAGCGGCGACCCATGGACAAGGCGCACATGCACGGCCGGGGACTCCACCACGCCCGGCAGCTCCACGGTGTCCTGCAACCCGGCGGCCTTCAGCTGGTGCGTCAGGGCCTGGCGGAAGTGCGCGGTGTTGGCGCGCAGCCGGCCGATCAGAGCCTCCGGCTCGTCGCGCAGGATCTTCAGCGCGCGCAGCGACGCCCGCGCCATGATGGCCGGCATCGACGCAGAGAAGGTATACCCCAGGCCGGCCAGGCGCTGGTGATCAATGACATCCGTGGCACCGGCCACAAAACCGCCAGCACCAGCCAGCGAGTTGGCCAGCGACGCCACATAGAAGTCCACCTTGCCCATGTCGGCGCCGGTGTGCTCGACCGCACCGCGCCCGGTCTTCCCGAGGGTGCCGAAGCCGAAGCTATCCTCCACCACGAGGCGGTACTTGTACTGGGTCTTGAGACGGGTCTGGACCAGGGGGGGGGGAGAGGCAGGGGGAGGGCGGGGAGGGGCAGATGTCAGCGACAGACCGACGAGGGGCATAGGAGGAGCCG